CGTATTCACGCATGTACACCCACACACCACCGATTTTGGAAGACACTGACGCTAGCGATTGGTATAGGCCACCGTCCAGGGACAACATTGCTAGCTTTAGGGCTATGTAAATATCCACGGACGGCCAGCCGGTACACAACAGTCCAAGCTCCAGTCGACCACAAACCGCGCACGTATAGAACGACAAACTTTTCAAAGCCGCCTCGGAATCAAAAAAATATCAACGTAATCGTTACACCAATCGACCGAAACGAAAACGTTCGAGTCACGTTGGCTGGCGCTGTAAGCTAGCATGGCGAAGTTCTTCACGGAACAGCCAACAGCGTACAGCAGCCACACAATTTTGAGATCCTGTGGCCTATCAACCACCCGTCACCCGTACACGTTACCACTCGCACACACGATGGTTACCAGTCGGCTAGGTCGTTCGAGTAGGTACAACGTAGTCAGCGCCCAGCCGGGTTCAGTTACATTGCCACCTTAAATGAACGACCTTTTTCAACGACCACTCTGGTAGTCTGGTCAAACGGGAAGCGCGTCGCGATACCCGTCATACGCCGCACGCGCGAAGGTACGATCGGTGTTAATACCGAGTTCTACGCGGAACAAGGGCCGAGCACCCTGTCCGGTTTTTAGCCAACACCGAGTCGTTACTCACGCAAGCGCGTAGACACTAAAACGTCCACACAATCACTTACGGAATTTGTGCTGATTTAAAACCAGCTCGCGCCCCGCACGTTAATACTGGCCTATCCGAATCGGAGTAGGTGGGTGTTATCGTCCGGCGAAGGCGCGGCACTTTCCGTAGGTACACATATCCGGCTACATATAACATTTACGTTCAGCGTGCTTCGACGCATAGCAGGCGTTTTGACTTCGTGTCGGATAATATCTCCACCCACGACCCACCTCTCGTCACCCATCATACCATATTTTCGGTAGTACGGACGGAGAAAAATTATGCCATCATCGCGCACGTAGTTCGGTAATTCGTAACGACGAAAAACCAACTACGAATTTTTCCGTCAACACACCACCTATCGGCACCCACTCTTAAATCCCAAACCTACACCACCCCACCACCCACCACACTCACCTCACCGGTGACACGTGTGGTCAACATCAACGGCTTATGGGGCAGCCGCAGGTGTAGGGACAAAGGTAACAGAGCCACGGGTGTTCACCTGCAAAGGTGATGGGGGCGCAAGCACACCAACTTCGCACACCCCCGCATTATAGGTCATTCTGTATACGTAAAGCATCAGGCGAGCACCGAGACAACCGACAGGGACAGTTTGGTCATGGCGGTCAACACCGACCACCAATCAGTCTCTGTCGCGGTTCAGAACCAGTTGCCCCGCTCGACCGATTGCAATACGTCTAATAACGTCACACGAACACGCCCGGACAAAATTCCGACCCACCGAGGTCGAACACGAATTTCCGTCAGGCTTCGTAACAGCGCTATTAGATCCACAGACCCAAATCGTACGTAAACCCGACCCATAGCCTGTAAATACGGCAAACCCCTCCACGGACCAACAAACACGGTCCGGATGGCAGACGGACACATGCAACAAACAGAGCAGTGCCACATGGATAACCAACGTCACGTCGCAGCCATACCAACGACAACGAGGCACCAAAGCACGAGGTCAACAACCAACACCACCTACCAGAGAGGGACTAGGAGGGTGTCAGCAAGGCAAGCTTACTTCAAGTCACATGGCAAGGGGTACCGCGAGCTGAACCACTTATCCACCGACAACAGTACGCTGTGGCACCCCGTATGGTGGTTTGGGGGGGGGGGGGGGTATGACGCGGCCCGCGTTAGTAGCAAGTACAATGTACAAGCACTATAGCGACCGCCGACCAGTCTATCTTATCTCCAACCACCACCACGGGATGCAAGCAGCGCGACCGGGTTGACTCTCCCACCGAGCCGGTAACGGCAAGGTGGGACGGGGGGACTGTGTCGCGTAAAACGTACAACGGTCGGCGGAAAAGTCGATTCGAGATCCACCATCGGACCGTCGGACCGATAACATATCGTCCGACGTTAAACTCATCTGCCCGAGCGGCACGTCATGTATTGTTATATTTTGGTCGCAATATTATAATACATAATTTGTGACATTCTTAAAGTGTTTGTGCTGTGTTTATTTCATCACCTCAATCCTAACCAGACACTTCGACCGGACCACGATCAACCTTGAAGCAATCATCGTGTCCGCGTCAATCTGACCCCTTCAAAAAGGTTCGCACTTCGCTTTCGACAGCCTTAACTTTTAATTTTTATCAAACATATAATATAATTTAAAACAAGCCAAAAAAAATGTCGGGGAGGGGCACGTGCCCCCAGTGCCTACCCCCTGGCTACAGAACTGCACAGAATTAATAACAACCCGAATGTTAAGAGGATTGTTTGTACATCTTAAAATACTCATAACTCGCTTTAAAATTTAAATATACTAAAAAGCTCAGGAGGTTGCCTAGACAATAATCTTACCTTCAGATTTTATAAGATGAGGTCAATTAGCTCTATTTTTTAACTAACGGAGCTACACATGTTCTGCCGAGCGTAAAATTTGCTGCACTTGTAAGACTACGGAGAAAACACATGTGGGTATCACGTCCTCTTAACAGATGGGTCTTCTAAGACCGTGGCATAGAACAGCGTATAATAAATTATTTTAATCTATGATAATATTATGATATTGTGTGATACGGCTAGAAATATATAATAATCAATACTAAACGAAAATACCGCATTTGAGCCAATACTGAGCAAAATTACCGTATACTGTCGTGGTCTCAGTTACTGCCATTTTGGTTAGCATGTGTTTGATGCTACTTTTTTGCTTAGTACCTAATTAGTATCATTCATGTATTTGTAAATACGTATATGTTTAACCACGTTTATTATACAATTAATGCATTTAAGGTATTTTTGCTAAGGATTCAAAAAAATTGCTTTAAAATAACGAATACTTTGATATTATAATAAACTCATTTTTCAAATTTTGTCGGTTATGCCTTTTGGCTTGGAGGGCAGATTTGTCTTAAAGTATATACGTAGGTAGGTACATAGCAAATTTACACTCAGCAGATAACGTTTAGCTCCGTTAGTTTAAAAATTAGAGTGAATCGATCTATTATGAAACTCGATGGTAAGAACTAAAAACATTATCTGTGTTCTTATGTTGGTTTTTACGGTTATACAGTTTTTAAATGAGTAATGAGCATTTTTAATTTACGCTAAATTACCTATATACGCATAACTTGCAAAAAAATTGAACTATCGTAAAAAACCAACATAAGAACACAGATAATGTTCTTACCATCAAGTTTCATAATAAGTCGATTGACTCTAATTTTTAAACTAACAGAGCTATACGCTATACGCTGAGCGTAAATTGATATGTTACGCACTTGTAGGACGGAGACAACCAAATAATATGTCCATGTGGAGTCCTCTTAAGGGGTTTGACATAGCCTCAAATAGCGTCAGTGTCGGCCTGGTTCTAAAGGGCCCAGGCAGGATTTTATTTGGAAGGGCCCCAGCCCCCGTACTACAAAATGTATTTATTATAATAAAATTAAATGAATCATAAATATGAAAAATGGTCATAAAAATGTAATACACATTGTATATAAGAGATTCTAAATTTGTTATTTTAAATTTTAAAAAAAAGTTAAATTTTTCTCTTATTCTAAATTTACAGGTATTCAACTTTTATATAAAAAAACTATGTATATATAAAATAAATACATTAAATATATTATATTAAAAGTCTTGTCATTTCTTTTGACGATTTTGCTATGTCATCTATTAGTTTTATTTCGTCTACATTTAAAGTAATATCTTTTTCTATAAAGCCAAAAGCATTAGTGGTTCTAAATGCTGCTGATCGAGTGGCGATCTTAATTTGGTTTTAATTACTTTTAGCTTGGAAAATACTCTTTTACGCGTGACTTGAGTTGATGACAATGGCATTATGTATTTAAAAACTTGATACAAGTTGTTGTACATACCAGAATGACTAATACATAAACGTACATACTTACACATAAACGTAGAGTAATCAATTTCTATTTTTCTTTATCTATAGAGTATAGACTACATCATAAGTTAACGATTTATGTCCGTATATTGGTACGATAATTAATTCGGTATTATACATAATATTGCAATAAATGCACAGAACTATATTTTTTTTTTTTTTTTTATTGATCTTGAATACATCGACATCTAGGTCATTAGTACAAGGTGTTAAGTTAAGAGGTATTTACATTAATATATTTCATATTTTTTTTTTTAAATTAAGTTATACAATTTTGATTTTTTAAGGAATAAAATTAAGTTGTTAGTGTCCTGTGGGTTTGGTCCAAGTGCTTGACAGATTTGTTCGGAGATGTGGAATTGATCGCGGTACTGGTTGTATTTATGGCATTCGGTGATGATATGTTTTACCGTTAGGGGGACTCTGCATGTGTCGCATAATG